AGAGCGACCCCTAGCGGCGGAGCTGTCAGCGCGCTCGAGGCCTCCCGAGGCCTGACAGCAGCCAGCGACCCCTAGGGGCAGAGGCTGGAGCAGCGTGCTCGAGGCACCCCTGGGGCAGACAATGAGGTGCCCACAACGAGGAATTGTACCAGCTTAGACAGATGTCTGCATTTCTCCTAAGCAGTTTGTTTGTCAACATATTTAAAATACCAAGAGAATTAAACTAACCCTTCAAGTGGGCAAGAAAAGTAAACTTAGGAAAATACCTGTTCATACTGAACATCATGGCAGTTTAGAAGAATACCGTTAGTGCATTTTAAGTTAGAATGAGGAGTTAAAATAACTCTTTTTGGCTTGTTTTGTTTAATAGGAGCCTTGATCTTAGATCTACACTTTTTACTTTTCATCAAAAGAAGAGATTGTGTGCTTTCTAACAATTTTCTTAAAAAATGATACTTTGGGTTCAATGAGACAGTAACAAAGCTTTTCCATCTGTATCCTGGAATCGAAAGCTTCAACTGTTAAGTGAGGGTGGATCTGGTGCACAGGAAGGTCACCAGCGCAGACTCTGAACGGCCTCCATGTGTCTGGAAGGTCATCAGTGGATCACAGTTCCTCAGACTTTGCATATCAGTATGTCATTTTTACAGATTCAAATACCATCAAACCAAATTCCAGTTTTTAACTCAAAACTTCCAGGTTTAAGCTAAAAAAAAAAACATTTACTTTTGAACTGAAGCTTTTTCTTGTGAATCTTAAAGATGAAGTTACACTTTTCCAATCACTTAAGAATCACTTCTAACGCGAAATACATAATAAGCAAAATAAACACCAAGCTTTTATTTGCTGTGGACTAACAATTACCATTAAAATCCAAACCAAATGCCCACGGGTAATGTTTACAGGCATATTGCTGTAATTTATGTTTTTGATAGTGACAGCATGGCTACATTTTAGTTTATTTATAATGTGGTTACTACATTCAAAATTCTTTACACGTGGGTAATTTTTCAAAATAGGTGAGGATGCGATCCTTCGGATAGGCTGTTTCAGCACTATTTTCATTTTATCTTACGCTTTGCTCCAACATCCGCTTTAAATGACTTCTCCCTGGGAAATTATCATAGCTACAGTAAAAACTGAGAAAAAGAAAACCCAATTTTTTTTCTTTACTGAAAGTTTGAATACATTTTAAAACCGATGGATGACCTGTAACGCCAACAGCCTGATTCTTTGGCATGCTGTTTCCAGCTGTTTTTAAACTTAAGAATTCTACAGACTGGTAAGGAATTAAACATCACAAGTCCTCTTTTGCACGTTACGTAGCAGTCTTTGTTTTTATTATCACAGTAGAGTTGGCTATCAAGATTTGGTTTCTGAAGCCAAGTAATCCAGACTTGTATGGTTGAACTGCACACATTTTGCATCACCCTCAGTCCTTTTGTAACCTAGCTGTTATTGCACAGGAAAACATTCTGTGTTGCTATTGTCTTCTAAAGTGACTTTTCTAAAACAGTGTTTTTATTTTGAAAAAAAAAAAAAAAAACAACATACTGCCTAGTGCTTCATGTTTCAGGGCAGATTCACATTAAATGGAATCACACCTTTCACTCGAATCTGATTAAGCCACGTGTCGTCTCGCTCACTAACGTGCTCACGGAAGATCCACGCTGTGAGACTGAAGGACTCAGACGGACAGATGCACGTTATCTTTGCCGCGTTAGCTTCTAACGTGTCCTAGAGCTGACGGCCCGGAATGCGTGTGACCGGGCAGAGGAGTGGAAGACGCCGGGACGTGCCAGGCAGTCGGCCGCACAGCCAGGTTTACCTGCAGGTCTCGGGTGCGCATCCTCATGCGCGGGGGGCGGGGTGCTTCTCGTGACCCCAGGGAGGCCCAGCTGCCGGGCTCGTGTCACGTGGTCCCCTGGGTGAAGCTCCTTTGATACTCTCCCCGCAGAGAACCTGTACCTTCAACATACCAATGAAAAGTGACTGGTGCGTGCTTTTAGCAATGTGTTTTTATCAATAATGGATATGATTATTTCACCTTAACAGAATTAAGACAAGGGTCAGCTCAGGACTTTAAGCATTAAAAATGTATGGGTCAGCTCCCTCCAAGATTCCCTGCAAAGCGGCCGCTCAGCAGGCCTGTTCCACACAGACTACACGAGGAAACAGGCTTTCTCTTAGAGAACGACTTGTGCGAAGCCGTCGACTAGCCTGGAGATGCTCAGCTCTCAAGCTTTGCCATTGGCGGAGTCAGTGAGCCTGCCTGCACGGCGCTCAGGCCTGTGGGGACACCAAGCAGAGCCGGGCGCTGCCCCTGGCCTGCCCCGTGGGGAGGCCCTGGCGGTGGGCACCGCCTGTCGGCAGCCTCAAGCCTCCACGCAGGAGGGCGGGGGCGGCCCGGAGGGGCACCCAGGACGCCCTGCATGCCTGGGGGCTCAGCTCCTCAGCCCGCGGCACCTGCCCCA